CTCCCAGAGTTCCTCAGCCAGCAAAGTCCACAAGCCTTAAAGGGGCCAAGGTTGGGGACCTCTGTTCTAGGAGGTATCTATCCAAGCTTTGGCTCCCTTAGAATTGCTGCCTGGAGGGAGAACTTTTGCAGGGGTTCTCCGACATTGAGGCCAAAGAGGGATTTCCAGCCGTCAATCAAAGTAGCCCGAAGCAACAGAACTCAACATCAGAAGCAAGAGGAGGAACCGGAGGCTGGACCTGCAACTTCTCCCCCCCTTCAGCAATTTAACTGGTTCTTCTGGCTCAGTCCCCGCTCCGGGCATTACCATTAAGCAGGGTGGGGTGGATCTTGGCTTTGCCCCAAGGACCCTTGATGGCTTTGGACTTCTTCCTCTCAGAGGAAAGAACAGAAACAAAATTGAGAATCTTGAGTGAGGATAACGGGGGAATCCAACGGGTCTCCTCCACTCGTCCTTTTATGACATAAGATCCCCCACGGTGAATCCCTCTGATGATAAGACTCATTCAGTGTTCTACCTGAAGCACCTAGGAAGGGAATTCATACTCTGGACCGCCCACCAAAGCTCAGCAGCTGGGATTCTGGTCAGCAGAGATTTAGCGCAAAGGTCTGGTAGAAGCCAGATCTTTGGACTCTCAACCGCTTGGTGGCAACACTGCTTTGGAGAATGGAAGAAGAACCCCACAAGTTATGTCAAGTAATAACCAAAAGGTGGGGTCCTGGAAACGTTAAATCGCCTGGCAAGCACGGAAGGAAGGGCAGCTGTGGTTTTTTTTAAACTAGAGCAAGGCTCTTCAAACTTGGCAGCTTTAAGACTTGTGGGCTTCCACTCCCAGAATTCCTGAGCTAACGTGACCGGAGGAGGAATTCTAGGAGTGGAAGTCCACAAGTCTTAAAGCTGCCAAGTTTGAAGACCCCCGAACTAGAGTTTCAATGTAACCGTTTCCCTAAGTCCAAAAAGTCCAACTGTTAGAGCACTTGAGAATGGTCAATTCTATCTTTGCCCCATAAACAGGTTTGAGATCTGAAAAGAACCTAAATAGCTCTAAAGAACGTGAAACGAACAAGTGCATCACAGAATTCTGGGTGTGCAGAAACAACTGCATACAAACACACTGCCACAATGCTTCTCTCATGAGATCTAGCTGCTTACCTTGTGAATTTTTGGATATTAACACAGGGATGGGGTCAAACTCATCTTCTGCCACTTTTTCAGAGCCCCCGGGGACATCAAAGCCTGATATCAGGTTAGTATCTTCTGCAGCATGATGGGTGGGGTGGGGTGGAATTTGAAAAGGACGAAAAGAGAGTAGAGAAAGCTGGTTAGAAGCCACCAAAACAACATTTGCCGTATGTGTTTTGCTGCAAAGGAGGTGGGGGCAGATAGAAAGGCAGAATTGCAAATGGCTAAAGCAAACCGGGTATTTGGAAAACTGGGGAAAAGAGAGAAGTAGATGAATATGGAAATTACATGGGAGGGAAGGAGCAGCGGAAGTCGCTCATCTGAGAGAAAATAGCCAAGTGGCACCAGAGAGTTAGTGGTGAGAACATTTCACAGGGAGCTGAGTTGAGAGAATGCAGTGATAAAAAGGCCTGGATTCACATGCAGGTCAGGCATCCTTTGTACAACTGATCTCACGCTGCTCCTCAAATACACGTGAAGACTTTATGACACAGGAGTTTCCCAGCACAGGTTCTCCTTGCGAAGAGTGTCAACTCATAAAATAGTCCTATGGTCTTTTTAGAGTTGCCGACGGAAAGGGAGGGGGGGGAAGGGGGTTTGAAAGCGCATTCCATAAATGTTTTCAAAGATAGTAACTAGGTGACTGAAGTTTCTGCCACGCAAAATTCTAACTGGAGAATGTGATTGATGGCTCTTGGCTATGGATGTGTCCCATTGGAGAATATGGATTCTGATACACCCAGAGGGGGTGGTGGTGGAAAATCAGGGCCAAGGGTGACAATGAGTGATGTGCCTCAGAGTCGGCTGCACCCAGGACATGTTAACTCCCAAGCAATCCTTTCGAAGTTTTGGAGTTTGGCTCAAGACTCACGATTTAATTGGGGTAACTGCCGGAATCCTGACAGCCAGCAGTTGAATGGATACCCCATTCAAGATGCCACAAATGCTTCCGCCTCGTTGCCAGCTCTTGATACCCTTGGAAGGGCACCGCTGAGCCATCAATTTGCAAACTTTCACATCTGCCTTCAAGGCTCACAACACGCCAGGGACGAGGATCCCTTGAGCCGAGACCCATCCTGAGGCCTAAAGAATTGCAGTTGTGGTGCCTATTTTCACAACGACAACAACAGCGTTCGCTCCCTTCTTGGACACGCTGTTCAAACCAAAGAAAGACTCCAGCAATAGCCAACAGCGAAGTGACATTAATATTTGTCCAGGTGTCTTGGAGAAGTTGAGTGCCTCCCGTGGAAATCCTCAGGGAGACGAAGGACATGGGTCAGAAGGACCAGTTAGGATGGCCGGAAGGCTTGCAGCTCTTAGCTTCCCCATCATCATCAGCGGGGGGCGAGGGAAGAAAAGTTGGTTCCGGGCCATTCTGAGGACTTCTTTCTTGACTGACAGGCTCAATGAATTTGGGACCCCATAAAAAATCGGCACGGAGAAGAGGAAGTGGGTGGGTATAAGGGGGCAAAGTTATCTTTCGGTTAGTGGAATGGTTGTTAATCCAAATTAACAATCCCTTCCCTTTCAAGTGGAAGGGATTTTGTTCCATGCAAAGTATTTTTACAAGCTCCAAGAATCTAATCCAGTGCCAGGATTTCTGCAAGACTAACAGCCATTCCTCTCTCATAAGTCTTGGTGGATACTAGCACGTCTGGATGGATGTTTGTCCTTAAAAGAGAGTCAAATGCTAGAGACCAGGTCAACGACCATTGTCCTTCATAGCTTGGGTCAAACCTTCTGCTCCAACAGAAGATCAGCTATGTCTGGTCCCTGAGATCTGTGGCCCTGCCAATATTTCTAACTTGAATTTAGGCTTTTTCTCCGCCGTGTCTCTCATCTTCCTACCCTTAGCTTGCGGACTGCATCCCCACCAGGTAAGTTCTAAGTGATACTCTCGGATGGCACCAAGCTCATATGGATGATGGAACAGAGAGTATGAATTTTTGTTTAAAAAAACCCTCAAATTCCAGACCCAATCTATTCCCAAGTTTGGGCTGACAAGTTTTGTTTTACAACACTTCTACTAAGCATACATTTTTTCGGTTAGAATGGATGTCCCAGAAATTGTTAAAAATAATCCCCTTTCAAGTGCAGGAAATTAAAACTAACTTTGAAAAGAAAGTCATTTTCAACTTTGCCTTTTTCTACATCAGTTCTATTGCAACCACATCTCCTTTCTCAAGGCCGGAAAGAGTTCTGCACTTTGGACAGAAAGGAAAGGAGACGCCTTGGATGCTCCTTTCAAACAACCACGGAAGATCTCCTGGAGTATCCAAGGTAGAAAGGCAGCAATTTTTGAAATCAACAACTGTTCGCTCTCCCGGCACAGTCCCACCTGATTTAGTAAAAAGCCTACTACAACGGAACTGTTCAGACACATTTCCACACTCGGGTGGACAGAAAACCACTGACGCTTTGAGCAGAAATCGCTGACCGAGGAATATTCTCACATGCGCATGCCTGCATTCCACCATGATTGATTCAGACCTTCCTTCGTTGTTGTTGTTTTTTGTCTCTTCCTTCAAATGAAACCCTAAAAAGGGGTTTTGTTTTTTTTACCTTTGTGAGTTTGGGATGGAACCGCTAAAGGAGCAAACTCGTCCAGGAGATCAGTGCCAGGGTTAGAAAGCAGAGCGCAATCAAGCAAGGAGTCATCCACAGTGATTGAATCTGGAACCAGGAGAAGAAGCAAAGAGTAGCAGAACACAGCACGGAGAATAGCAAGGAAATGGCTGCTCCCTCGGCTAGGGACTGGTTTCCTTTATTTTTCAAAAATTAATAATGACCTGAACTGGACTAAAGTGCCTCACTCGTGTTCTAGGTCAGGGGTCTCCAACCTTGGCAACTTTGAGATTTGTGGACTTCAACTCCTTGGGAAAGTTGAAAGTTGGAGTTACCAAAGTTGGAGACCCCTGTTCTTTGAGTGCACACCTGTGGCTGCCACTTTCTTTGTTTGACCCCACTATAGACACCCCTGGACACATACAGGGAAGTTATAAGCTATTTCAAGTTACAGAAACAAAGCTAAGGGAAGAAATCTTATTACCTAACCAATATTTCCTCCAATCCCTGAATCAGAGAAATCCCAAACCTCTGGAGAGAGAGGAGGAGCCCACAGAAACATCTAAAGGCGAACACACACACACACACACAAGTGTTTATATAGACAAAGGATTCTGGTTTTCAGATCAGCCTGCTGGGAAAAGCAGTGGCACTTGTTCTAATTTCGGGTGACTGGAATTCCTCTTAACTCGGGACAGAGTCTAAGAAATTTATCGGCTCAAATGTAAGACCAGGGATAGTAGCAGCCGAATATTCTGCACCCGTTGTAGCTCCAGCATGCCAGGAAAGGTCTAGTTCTAGGAGCAGAACTTAGGATGGACTAAAGGTTAAAGCAAAAGGCTGCCAAGAAAGGAGCCAGGGCCATCTGGGAGTTATGTGCTGAACTCCGTAGTCTTCAGAGTGTGGCAGCAGCGAGGCAGAGGAACAAGGGGAGCCTGTTCCCAGTGCGCATATGCGCAGAGCTGCCAGAAGGCAAGAACAGTTGAGACAAAAGGAGTTAGGCTTGGAGGTGATTGGCCCCTCCCATAAAGGAGGAGCAAAGGGACAGGATCCTTTGCAGGAAGCAACTTTGTTTGTTCGGGTCGGTTTAAACTCTGAAGCTCTGTGTTGACTTTGTGCTCCGTTTGGCCTTGTTCAGCTAATGGGCAATTGTCGTTGGCAGCTTTTCCAGGGAGATAAAGGTGGGTGCTTATCAGACTTATCCTGAAGGACTTTGGCAGACTTTTGTGGGGCTATTTACAAACTGTTGAGACTCGTTATGGGCTATAAATGACTAAAATTCACAGCCGTTGAAATAAAGAAAAAAGGGGTTTTGGGACTGTGTTTGTTAGCGTCTCAATAAGCCTTGGTCAGAACACTCCATTCCTTGAGTGACCCAGCCCAAGCCGCCTCACCAACCTGTTCTGCTCGAAGCCAGCGAATCTGCCTGCGAGGATGGGAGCTGGGGCACAGGCGCTTCGAGGCCCGGTATGAGGCTCTCGGCGGTGAGCTCAGCTTTTCCTTCCCGAAGGCACAAAAGAAGGAGAGCAGAAACCAGGATTAGCAGAGGCAGGAGGAGAAAAGAAAGCAGCGGGCCGCGATGACCCCGACTCAAGAGGACCAGTTTCAGAATTTTTGAGAAGAGCCGTAGTGGCACGGTGGCTAGAAAGCACAATTGCCGGCTGACTCTGCCCACTGCCAGCAGTTCGATCCTGACCGGCTCAAGGTTGACTTAGCCTTCCCTCCTTCCGAGGTGGGTCAAATGAGGTCCTGGATTGTTGGGGGCAAGAGGCTGACTCTGTAAACCGCTTAGAGAGGGCTGTAAACCATAGTGAAAGTGATATATAACTGCTAATGCTGAGGGCTATTGTGATGGCACCATCAACAACCACCTGGGCCTATCTGCACAATGCCTAATCTGTTCCAGAATGCGCAGTTTCGAACATCTTGAAGGTAACTACACTCACAGTGGGGACCTCTGCAACCTGTGTCGTGATCTGGACAAGCAGCAGTCCAAGAAAAGAGCTTGTTCAACTTCACTGGGTGGACAGGACTTCGCTGAATGGAAGCCACACAAAGGACTTTCCCCACTTGGTTCTGGGGTCATCTTCAAAAGGTACCTCAGACTAGGCCAGAGGTCTCCAACTGGACCACTTTAAGACTTGTGGACTTCAACTCCCAGAATTCTCCAACCAGCTATGCTGGCTGAGGAATTCTGGGAGTTGAAGTCCACAAAGTGGCCAAGGTTGGAGACCCTTGATCGAGAACATAGAATAATAGGATTGGAAGGGTTCTTGGTGGTCTTTTAGTCCAGGGGTCTCCAACCTTGGCCACTTTGTGGAGTTCAACTCCCAGAATTCCTCAGCCAGCTAGGAATTCTGGGAGTTGAAGTCCACAAGTCTTACAGTGGCCAAGGTTGGAGACCTCTGATCTACGTCTTCTTTCATGGGGTTACAATGTTTTTAACAATGCTGCTTTGCCTGGTTATATTATTCTTTCAGAAAAACGTTTACCGCCTTAATTTCCAACCTTTCTACCTGTGGTTTTGCTTTTTCATACATTGAGCCTCCTGGATTTGCGAGATTTTACCTGATTTCCTTGGGGAAAGAATGAGGCACAGCCTTTTCCGCCCCCCAGGCACATCTCCCGGGGTGCCCACCGTTTGGATGGATTGTATGTGGGTCTGGGTGCAAGTGTGCAGAGCATGCAATTTACACAGGCCGACATGCAGGACAGGACAGGAGACAACAAAGAGGGTTCTAGGTTTTACCATTCATAGCATCGGAGGTGCTACCGAAGGGGTCGGCCAGAGGCAGGATATTGGGGAGCAGGAGTGGAGGCTCAGGAGATTTGAGTCCCTCAATCAGTTTTTCTGGTGAGGAAGCGGGAAGGAGCAAGAAAGAGGAAAGAGGCAAAAAAGAAGTAAAGCGAAAACACAGTCACTCAAGCAGGCTCAGTTTAAGGGAGGCTGCTCAAAAGGCACGAGCAACCCCGGAAACATCCTGTAGACTTGGTCAACGTTTGTCCCAAAGGTGCTTGCTTTTTTTATTCTTTTTTTCTTTCAAGGGGCAACTGGACTTTCTGGTTTTTTCTTTGGAAGATATTTCACTTCGGCTCCGACTGGATGGTGGGGAATGGAAGAGTTTATAGCCCTTGCAGACAGCTGGTCATTTGCATCCTTTTAGAGGGTCGTTGAGGCCGCTTGGAGGGTTGTCTGTGTCCTCAGGGTCACCTGAGCAGTGCAAAGGGATGTGTGGAGCCTTCCTGGAACAGCTGAAAGGACTGTGCTGTAGACTGGAGAAAGATGATGTTGTATTTCTCTCTCTCTCTCTCTCACGCACACACATGCACACACACGCACACACACACACACACACACACACACACACACACACACACAAAGAGTGGCCACTCTTTAGAAGACAGCAAAGCCCACATTTTGGACAGAGAGGACCGCTGGTTTGAAAGAAGGGTCAAAGAGGCCATCTACATCAGGGTTCTCCAACCTTGGCAACTCTTAAGACTTGTGGCCTTCAATTCCCAGAATTCCTCAGCAGCTTTGCTGATCTACATTAAAATTGAACATCCCTGTCTCAACAGAGGGATACATCATCATCTAATTCCAGTCTATGACACAGTTCCTTTCAGCTGTTCCAAGAAGGCTCCACACCCATTTGCACCACTTAGGTGACCCTGAGGACATAGATAAGCCTCCAAGTGGCCTCAATGGCTTTCTAAGAAAGAATGCAAATGTCCAGCTGTCTGCAAGGAACAGCCTCTTGAAAAAACACCTTCGGGACAACCATGACCTGGATGGATTCTCCACAGACAGTTATCAACATTTATTGATTTTGACAGAAGAAAACAGTTGTAGCTCAGAGTTGAAATGAGGGGTCCTTCATGCTCTCTCAGCTTGGTAGTTTTCTTGCAGACATTGCATTCACCAACTAAGTCAGATCTTCAGTGCTGGCATGATGATCCTTCTTGTGTGGCCTAGTAGACGCTCTCTTCTCACACTGATGATGTGACCGAGCTGAGTAATGCAAGGTCTACAGTGAAACCAGCAAGCTGATGTATTGATTTAAATATCAAGGCAGGCATCTTTTAGTTAAGTCTAATTTCCTCTGGATTAAGTCCACTGCCCAGTGGGAAGCACAAACATTTATTTAGAAAAAAAGACAAGAGACCACATTCTGATAACCCAGAGTCCTCCAGGTAGATGAACTTGTTTTAGGATCCAATATGGGTCAGTGTAACCCAGGGGGTCTCCAAACTTGCCAACTTTAAGACTCGTAGACTTCATCTCCCAGAATTCTGGGAGTTGAAGTCCACGAGTCTTAAAGTTGCCAAGTTTGGAGACCCCTGGTCTAACTTCTCTCTAAGCTAGAGAGAGGTTTCCTGAAGATGGACTCCAGCATGAATCCAAAACTTCTGAAGACGAAACCTCTGGTCCCATTGACCGACCCACGTTGGATCCTACAACGTTATTCTGAGACATGTATATTTGCCTTTAGATGAACTTGTGGCTAATGATGGCTTGGAACGAAGAGAGTTGGTCCGAGATCTCTGGAAGGTGCCATTTTTGAGAAGTTTGAGGAAGGCATTTCCAACTAGTCAACTCTCCCCAAAATGTTGCCTATCGTTATTCATCTTCCAGAATGTTCTGGGACCCTTAAACTAAGGCATCTAATTGGCCAGTGAGAATGGGATAAAATGTGTTTAAATGTACAATGGTAGCTCGGTGTTAAATTGGTTCTGGGATGTGTGACAAGTACTAAAAAGGATGTATCCCAAATAAACCACATAATTTACGTCATGATCTTTTTTTCAGCTGGGAAGAACTTCCGGTCTGTCCCTTTTCCTATGTCAGTCCTTTTCCCAGAATGGCCAACTTCCTGTCCATTCCCCACGTCCATCCCTCTTTTCCTATCCCAGCGCGTCGAGTACTAAACAAACAGCAAGCACCGGGACAACATTTTCGCCTCAAAATGCATCAGATGCCAAATTTAATCAGCTTTGAAGCAGCCAAGTTCTGAGGTACCGCTGTGCTCCCAAACAAGGCCAAACTGAACGTGAATCGACTCTCTTATCATCTGCTCCATTTAGTCCTGGGGGTGTTTTTTGGACACCGTTGGGAATTTGAAAAAGACAGATTATAAATTGCCTATGCGGGATGCTAAATGGAATTCCACCCCATCCCTTACAGGGCATCTAACAAGAGAGACCAGCGAGCACGGAAAATACAGAGGAGGCACTGGAAGGTCTGGTGTTTATTTTTTCAGTACCATCTCAGGTGGCTATAAATCAGCTTCCAGGCAGCTTCGTTAAGAACGCAGAGCTGCAGGTTAAAAGACCTCATTTTACAACCAGCGCTGAACAAAGCAAGGGTTTCATGCAGGCCTCCGAGTCGGTGAAGCTAAATTTGAAAAAAGAAAAAATCATCCGGAAGGTTCTCCTGCGCAATGGCCACTGCCCGGCCGGTGGAGAACACTCTTGGAAGTTTCATTTTTGAACCTGGAATCCCTTTGGCCCAACCGGAGTTTGGGTGCCATTTGTAATCCCTGGTCTCTGCTCGCTTCGTAGCTTTTGTGAGCCTTTTCCGGTTTTGCCTTTAAAACGCATTGACCTGAAATACCGTAAGCTGCTTTGAGTGACACACATGCAAGGGAAGAGGAAGACGGAACCCAGTTTCTCAACCTCAGCCCAATTTAAGGTGTGCGTGGACTTCAACTCCCAGAATTCCCCATCTAGCCGCTCTTGTTGGGAAATACTGAGGGAGACTATTAAAATAAATCCATTTTCAAGTCTGGGGAAACGTCTGGCTTTATTTTTTGATAACCGCTAACAAGGAGCCTGGAATCCAGCCTGTGGGGAGCGTAAGAGCCACCTGCTTGATTCTGGGCTGACCTGGCCCCCCAAACATGACCAACCCTCTGAAGTGAACTCAAAATATTCCTTTGATTAGGAATGCCGGCAGCCCCAGCAAAGCGTTTCTCTCTCACCGCAGGCTAACAAATCCATCAGGCCAGAAGAGGAATAGTGGTCTGCCACATCTATTCCTCTCCCTCCCCTGCCTTTGATCCCCAGAGCTAGGGAGGGGCTTTGCTAGCAGCGGTGGCTCTTCTGTCCCAAGGACCGGCCCATAGATTTCCACAGCTCTCCTCTCCTCTGCCTTCTGTGCCTCCGTGTGTCAGGCACTGGATGCAGCTGTTCCTCCTCTTCCTCATCAGCCATCTCTAGACCTGGGGGCAGTTGACTCTCCATCTAAGGGCTGATGGACAGCCTAGGCTCTGCCTCCCCCTCTCTCTCTGTCTCTCTCTCTCTCTCTCTGCCAGCTCTATTCCCTCTTCTCCCTCAGAGCTTCCACGTTGCCTCACTGCTTCCTCTTCCTCCTCTGATTCGGCTGCCAACGGGCCACAACAGCTTCAGTAGATTCACAGATAGAGAGAGAAGAAAAACACTTGCAAGAAATGGGAATAACTGGCGTTACGCATTCGCCACTTCCTGCTCCCTGCTCCACAGTCAACTCCAGCATTGGCAAGTTGAGGCTCAAATGCCAGATACGAGCAGAGCAGAAGAAACTTCAAGGCATCCCCAAAACACCAAGGCAAACTCACCACAAGCCCCAGTGGGCACGCCCGTATGTCTTGCTTAGAGGGAAAAACCTTTGGAAAGTGGCCAGGCTGCACGACTGCAGAGACAAACGTTTTATAACACCTGGCCCGGTGGAGGGGAACGCATCCAGAAGACCAACTATAGACAACGTAACTACCGGAGACCCTAGGGGCACCTCACTCACCAACCGCTTGATTAACAACGGTTTATAAAGTGATGATGGTGTTAAAAGAAAACAACTCCCTCTGAGACCCTATCCTCGCACTGAAGGCAATGGGCTTGCAGGAAGCTGAGATAATGGAGAAATAGAATACCAAGCTGCAGCCGTGGGATGATTAACAATGGCCCCAAATCCCAAAATGGAAGTGAGGTCATAAGCCTGTTGTGGCCACATGGTTTTCCACTTAGTGACTGTTGCGCTTAGCAATGGAGGAGCCAGGCCAGTTGAGGTTAGTGAGGACTGCCTGTATATTCAGCGGGATACAGTCAAACTGTTGAGTAGAACAGTTTTCCCCCGAATGCCATCACTCTGCTAAGCAAATAATTCCCTCAATACTGTTCACTATTTACAAAGTCTGCAATACTATCACTATTAATCTTCTCATCCCTCCTTATCGCCCATCCCCTCCCACTTGTGATTGTATGACGGTAACTTTGTCGCTCGTATCTTTACGATTTATATGGACTATTTCCTAGTATGATTTGATTGCTTATTGTAGCCTTTGACTATCATTAAGTGTTGCACCTGATGATTCTTGGCTCTTGACGAACGTCTCTTTTCTTTTATGTCCACTGAGAGCATTTGCACCAAGACAAATTCCTTGTGTGTCCAATCACACTTGGCCAAGAAAGAATTGAATTCTATTCTATTCTATTCTATTCTATTCTTATTGAACCCTTTGACTATTATTAAATGTTGTCCCTGATGATTCTTGACTCTTGATGAATGGATCTTTTCTTTTATGTATACTTTGCACCAAGACAAATTCCTGGGGTGTCCAATCACATCTGGCCGATAAAAGAATATTCTACTCTATTCTATTCTTCTTGCCACGCCTCACGTGGGCCAGGAGATATTTCAGAGCTGCTGATTCCATGGATTACAAGGTCCGGCCTGTCATCACCCCCCACCCCACCCCCAACGGATGTAGAGCTTCCAGAGGGATGGAACTGAATTGCAATGGAAGCAGGTGCAGCAGCTATGACTGAATTTCCTGAGCTGCTGCTCTTCGTTATTTTCCCTACTGACAAGTTACAGATGCGCGACTGGATTCCTCCACTGGTGACCTTTGTTAACACGCCCCCTGAGCTGACAAGAAATCTTTATCTTTTGTTGCCTTGAGCTCAAATGCATCGTTAATTATGCAAATCGAGCTGCCTTGAAGGGCTACAATTAACTGGGATCTGTGAAGACTCTCCAAGCAGCTGCGGGCAAATTTCTGCCGGCTGCATTTGCTGAGGTTGTGAAAAATTGGGAGAAAAGCAAGCTTTAATCAACCTAAAACCCACCTCCCAAAATAAAAGCAGCATCAACAAGGATCTGAACACGAAGACGGTCTTTTTTCCAGAATGCTCTCGAAGATCAAATGCTCCCCAGTGCTGGTGCTGAATTCAATCGGCTCACTCAGCCCCATTAGCGGTTGGTAGGCAGAGGGTTGTTGTTGTTGGTGTGTGTGTGTGTGTGTGTGTGTGTGTGTGTCTGTGTGTCTTTGAATAACAGGAAGGGAGAAGGAATCCCCCCAAAAATCTCACTTCCAAAAAGGTTTCTTTCCTGCAGTGGCCTGAAATGCAGGGCTTGTAGAGCAAAGCGGCTCTCTTCACCCCTTGGGACCCACTGGGGCCACACCTGTCAAATGTAATCTCGACGTATCCAGGAGCTGGGGGAGAACTGGCCCCTCCGCATCCTATGGAAACCTGAATTTCATACATTTTAGAACTTTCAGAAAATAAAAGGGAAACCTTTGGTTAGGAGAGAAGGGCTGAGGACGTGTCATGGCTGAGACCGACGTCTACAGCCTGCCCTCGGGAAGACGGGGTCGGTCACGCCAGAACGGGTGAAAAACTGGTTTCCCGTGAATCAGGCGGAAGGTCTCTGGCTTGGAATTTCCTCGTTGCACTGAAGAGGTTTCTAGTAATTCAACAAACCAGAGAGTCAAATAAGCCTGCTGTGTCGTTACGGCGTTCCATGCTAGGCCCCCCCCATCTACATAACCGCGGTCTGAGCATTAATTTTCATATTTGGAAATAGAACAGAGTAACACAGAAGGGGCTGGTGGAAGGGACCTTGGAGGTCCTGCAATCTAACCCTCGGCTTAAGCAGGAGACCCTACAACCATTTCAGACATATGACTGTCCCATCTCTCCTTTAAAATCTCCAGTGTTGGAGCATTTACAACTTCCGGAAGCAAGATATCCCCGCTGATGAATTGTTCCCACTACTAGGAAGTTTCTCCTTAGGTCTAAGTTGCTTCTCTCCTCGAGTAGCTTCCCCCCCCCCCCGTTGCTTCGTATCTTGCCTTCAGGTGCTTCGAAGAATAGGTGACTATAGGAAGAATGCACCTTCCTAGCTGTACTTGTTCAACAAGCTCCTAGAGGTAACTTCACCTGCCTGGGGAGTATCTACGTGTCAACCGTTTAGTTCCTGTTACGTAAGGTCGCAGGAGCCAAGGGGGCTCAGCGGGAACATAATCCCTGAGGGCTTTGCCCACTTCTACCAGCTGAACAGATCAAAGGTACAGCCAAAATGAAGCCAAGTGAGCGCTCACACGGAGTTGTTCCCGGCCCGCTCATCTGTAGTGGCCACCAATGCCTTCACCCAACACTTCAAAGCAGGAGAAAGGAGGGTTGATTTCAGTATTTTTTGTGCTGTTGGAGAAGCATCTGATAGGCTGTTGAAATATCACTCTCACCACTGTTTTATAGCTACTCTGTGCTATCAACATGCCCCAGCAAAAGATTAAAGTACGTAAACAATCCATAAACATAAATGCTCAGAGAAGGGAGAATTGGGGGGGGGGGGGAGAGAATAGAGGAAAAGAGAGAGAGAGATACACAGAGACAGAGAGAAATTGGGGGAGAGAGAGAGAGAGAGACTATGTCAAGATGCAATTCATTCAGCAGGTCTTCAGCTATTTGGTTCACTTAGAAACAAGATGCACCAAAACACTTAGCATAAAAACCCACATTTCAAACTAGATTACTCGTTCTGCAACTACGGAAGATTTTAAAAAAAAAAATAAAGCAAAGGGCAGCTAACCCAGCAAACACACACACCGCAGCAGAGTCCTTTTCTTTGGACTTCAGCTGGGGAGGAGAAACGATCTCATCAGAATCCAATCAAATCACATTTCGGGGAGAGCTGAGATCCCCAATTTTGCCAGTCTTGGACAGACAGCAGCGAGTCTACTCATGGAGACACAAAAGCTTTGAAAATGTTACTCAGTGGTCTCCAAGATCTCAGGAGATGTGCCTGGTGCAAATTTTGAACAGGCCCTTCAACCAGCCACCGGTATTGAAACGTAAAAGGTATCCAGAATTTGCAAAAATAGTACCAAGGACCTCTCAAAATTCAGCTAAACGTTCACAAAAACGCCTCTAAAAAACCTTTGGACATTAACTTTTGGGACTGAAAAAGCTGATCACGACTGCACAAGTACACACATCTTCCTCCTTCCCACTTTGGGCATCTTCAAGAAACACCGAAACAGCTTCTTATTTTGATAATCCAGAACAAAACCCTGGGTTTGACCAGCCCCCTGTGATATGGACAACTCTGAATCGAATTCACACTAGCCATGGTGGATGTGTCAATGCCTTCAACAAGTGGGACAAAATAGCATCACCAAATTGTGATTGTGCGGCCAAAAAACAAACTACCCAACATACATAATGACGGTTAAAATAGAGCCTATAATGGAGATTTCACTAATTTCCTGGTGGTGACAAATGAAGTAGAAAATTTAATTTGCAACTTGCAATCTGCCTGTTAAGATTTCAGACCGTATATTCACGGTTTTGTATTTTAGCCCATGTTCCCTTTTACCGAAATCTGATGTGAATGTGTCATACAATAAATAAAATAAATAAATAGGCTGCTATTTAAATAGGCTTGGAGATTAACCTACCATTGCCTTCCCCAAGACCTTGGGATAGGATGCTCCTAATCCCTTCTCTTAAATTTAGCCATTGCACAGGATCTAAGACACCTGTCTTTTTGTGAAAGTACCTGCCCTGCGAAATGCTTTTTGCCTTGGGTGACTGACTGGCAGGGCTCTGCCCTCTGAGCTTTCCAAAAAGCAGCGAAGACACAGCATGGCATAGGGCGAAGGGATTTAATATGACGTTGTGTTGTTTTATCATTGAATATTATTTTAATTTTTCATTGGGAACTGCTCAGGGTTCTAGGTAAGACGGGTGACTATATAAATGTTTTAAATAAGTAAATAAGAAATAAAAATGTTATGGATAATAAAGTAGCCTATCTTAAAATATGACAATACTATTTAAACAACCCTAAATCTTATCAGTGTCAAACATAGATGGAAGATGGTCGTGCAAACAGATTATATAGAAAGAAATTGATAAAATTAAAAACAGAACGTCCAGTCTCTATTGACCGGCAAACAGGATGAACTTTGAGAAGGATGCTTTTCCAAAACTATGCCACCAAGAGGGCTCTGTTACTTTTGCCCCCTTGCCCAGTGGCATTACCTTTTAATGGGCATAATTGCTATGTCACCTTGATCACATAAATCATAGTTACCTGGTGTATCTGACAGTGGAAGAGGAATGAAAGGGTCAGGAACAGCCAGAAGTGGAGGGCTGGTATCCAGAATATCCTTTGTTTTTTCAGCTGGAAGGAAGGAAGGAAGGAAGGAAGGAAGGAAGGAAGGAAGGAAGGAAGGAAGGAAGGAAGGAAGGAAGGAAGGAAGGAAGGAAGGAAGGA